GCCTTCACGCAGGTGTCGCACCTGAGCCAGCACCGGCGCGTGCACACGGGCGAGCGGCCCTACGCGTGCCAGGACTGCGGCCGCGCCTTCAGCAACCGCTCCCACCTCGTGCAGCACCACCTCGTGCACACGGGCGCCAAGCCCTACAAGTGCCTGGAGTGCGGCGCCGCCTTCAGCCACGTGTCCTCCCTCATCGAGCACCAGAAGATCCACACAGGCGAGAAGCCCTACCGCTGCGGGGACTGCGGCAAGGCCTTCGGCCAGGGCTCGTCGCTCACACTGCACCGGCGCACGCACACGGGCGAGCGGCCCTACGCGTGCCCCGAGTGCGGCAAGGCCTTCAGCAACCGCTCCTACCTGATCCAGCACCACATCGTGCACACCGGCGAGAAGCCCTACGAGTGCGGCGGCTGCGGCAAGGCCTTCAGCTTCTCCTCGGCCCTCATCCGACACCAGAGGACGCACGCCGACAAGAAGCCCTACTCGTGCAGCCAGGGCCGGGAGGCCTTTGCCCAGCTGCCGCACCTCACCCGACACCTGAGCTCCCACCAGGAGGAGAAGCCGGTCGGCAGCAGCGACCCTGTGGACACCGCGCTGGACCAGCAGCAGAATAACGGCTGACGTTTACCAGGGCCTCCTTCTGCCAGGCACTCCTCTGAGCACTTTCACACCTCATTTCCAACCTCAAGGCACCAGGGGGAGATACCCATCGTCCCCATGTTGCCCGTGAGGAAACCAAGGCTCGGAGAAGCTCAGTGACTTGCCCGAGGTCACACAGGGAGGAAGTCACAGGGCTGGGACTGGACCCCACATCTGCCAGACTCCCCTCCAGCGCCTCCCTGGTTCAGAATTACAAATGTGACCCTCCAGAGTAGACCCAGAGACATCTCTGTGGGTCTCTGGCTGGCCTTTTAATTGATGTTATGATTGAGTTGGCATTTGTTCAATAAATGTAATTGAATAAAAGGTCCATCCCCCTTAGTGAGGTTCACATATTAACTAAGCAGGATCTGAAGGAGAAATGTGGATTCTCTAGGACTTAAGACAGTGCTTCTGACATCAGAGAAAATGAGTGGGAGAAATCATAGCAGGAATAGTTATTCTATGCATATATAAGCACATGTTTATACGAATGTTTGTTTCTATCATAAATATGCTATAAAGTTGTATAGTAGACAGTACACCGACGGTGCACGTGGCATGCAGTTTTCCATCCTGCTTTTGTTCACTCGTATTCTGAGGCACTCTGGATCGTTAGGCAAGGGGATGGGCATTCTCCTTTCGCAACGTTTGGATCTGAGGTCTCTTAGGTAATAGAATCACTTATGATTGTTCTGATCTTCTTGCTGAGGTTTCTTTGGCTCCAGAAAAAAAATCAATGAAAAATATTTTTCAATTATGAGTTAAGAACACCTTTCTTACAAAGTTGACCGACAAATTGTCCTGTGTCATAGGACAACACAGCCCCTTCCGCATAAAAAAGAATTCCCCGTGTTTTAAAAAAATTTTGTTGTGGTTTTTCAATTATACAGAAAAGTGTGAAGTACAATAAACACCCATACATCCACCTAGATTCAATGCCTTTAAAAAAATAATTTTAATAAATACCTATACAAATTTTTAAGTATCAAAAGTTACCATATTTTACAATATATATTTGCTTTTAAAAATAGGTCATGAAAATATGTATGTATATTTTCCTGGTCTATTTCAAAGTAAACTACAGACGTAATCTCACCTCACTGCTGGTGCATCTCTAAGAAAAAGAAAATATCTTCTATGGAACCACAATACCAGTATCACACCTAACGAAATTAATAGCTTCTTAACATCCAGTGTCCAATCCATACTCAGATTTCCTTGCCTTTCCAAAAAAGTTTGAAGAAGTGACAACCTATCAGAAAATGATGTGCCAAGCCTTGAAAATAACACAACTGATCTTTAATATAACTGTGAATAGTCGGGGGGAAGCTAAGACCTGCAGTGGGGAGAGACAGACACATTTGCCTCCCTGCCCACGAGCTCCCTCAACGCAGCCCTCCCAAGGGAGCTGGTGAGGGGCCTGGGAGAAGACAATCCGTCTGCGTGTTTCACTTCTGGCATCACGTGCACAGGCCTTGGCACACAGTAGGTCCTGAAAAACCTCTGACCTGGCTCTGGCGTCCTGCAGGGTCAGAAACCACAGTGTCTGAGTCTTCCCTGTGCTCCAGACATCACCTAGGCCACAACACCCAATAGGTCCTCAGGAAGCGCCCGGTGACTGAATGGCTTATCGTACATCTCCAGCCCTGGGAGGCATTCAGGGTCAGGGACCACACAGTTGGTGCTCCCTGGGCTCCAGACGTTGCCGAGCTCAAGCCTCAGCACACAGTAGGTCCTCAAGAAATACCGAGTGACTGAGTGAATACATAGTTGAACATGCCCAGCCCCAGCCCTAGAGCCCTTCAGGGTCGTGGACCACACAGTCTGGCTCCTCCCTCTGACCTTCGCCCAGACCGGGCCTCTGCATACAGTAGGTGCTCAGGGAATGCCGAGGGAACGGGTAAATGAATGAAATGGGATCCTCGTTTACAGACGTGGGGCTGAGTTCAGCCACCCAAGACAGCAAGAAGGCAGGATCTCGACCGTGGAAAGCCTGGGGGGTCAGCCCGGCTGTGGGCGGGGCCGTGGGCGGGGCGTCTGTACCCCCAAACCTTCCGCCAAGACTGAGGGGGCCGGGTGGTCTAGTGCGCAGGCGCAGGGGGCTCGCACGCCCCTCCAAGCGCGCAGGCGCCGGGCTGTATTCTCTGGGAGCGGCGTCTTTGCGCTGCTCTGGCGCTGCTTTACGTGTTGGCTTGTTGGCTGGCTGTGACCTCCTGTGCCTGCAGCGGAGCAGGGCTGGGAGGTGGGGTGTTTGTGACGAGAGTCTGCCCCGAGTCGCTCCTGCTGCAAGGGGAGCTGCGACCTGGAGGAGGAGAGAATCGGCCCCCATGCAGCCCGCAGCCCCAGAGGAAGCGGCAGTTTGTTTGTAGTCCCCCCTGCTGAGGGCAGAGCGGAGCACCAGAGCTGAGTCTGCCCTGAGTCTCTCCAGCTGTGGAAGGAGCTGAGCCCCTGGAGGCGGAGTTGTCAAAAATATTTGTTTCCGAATTTTTGAAAGTTAGGGATTACAGATAACGTAAAGAAGAAAAGGAATTGGCATTCCGTGAACGCCACATCCCAGGATGCTGAAGCTGCTTCCTGGTGACGGCGTGAGGCAGTCCCAGCAACCCGAAACCACTCCCGCAATCGGAATTGCCGATCCTGGGAGTCGGCGCGGTTTCAAGATGAGAATTACAAGCTGTGGGCCACGTGGCGGGCCCGACAGGCGCCCGGGTTATTTCCCTCTGATTTCAGATTTGCCATATTTGCCACCTTATTTCACATATTTCCTCCTCCTGGATGTTTACCAAATACTGTTTGCAGATACTGCCTTAGGTCCAACCTGTCCTGTTCTAGGAGGGGCGGAGCATCTTTAAGTGCGTGGGGGAGGGAGCAGAAAAGGTGGGCCCCGCAAGCTGATGTGGGTGTGCGGGGAGTTCGGGGAGACAGAGGCTGAACTTGAACTCCACAACCCCCTCCCCCAACTCCACGTTCCCAGGACTCAGACCATCCAGGGAGAGTCACCAGAGGAGGAGGAACGGCCCTTGAGGACGCCAGATAAGAACAGCATTAAACCGGTATTTGTCAGATACTGATACAGGCTGTAAAGACAAGTGGAGAATTACCTGCAGAGGGAGGTGCTACTCGAGGGTGGTCAGGGGAGGCCTCTCTAAGGAAGCAACACTGGAGCGGAGAGCTGAAGGAGGTGAGGGAGCCATGTGAGCTTCTGGGGGAAGAGCATTCCTGGCAGAGGTATATTCCAGAGCCAGTGCAAACGTCCTGAGGCAGGCACATGATGATCTTGTTAGAGAAACAGCAAGGAGGCCAGTGTGGCTGGAGTTGAGGGAGGGAGAGTGGGAGGAATGGAAACTAGGCCAGTTCTTGTGGGGCTGGACAGCCGTTGTGAGAACTTGGGTTGTTACCCACTGAAGTAGGTGGATTATGAATGGTCTTAACCATGGTTTAAAGGGATCTGTCTGCCTGTGAGGTTCCTGGGACATGATAGAGCCCAAATGAATGACTACTGCTAATATGATTTTTGTCACTATCCTGATTGTTGTCAACATCCCACAGATTTGATTAAGACGCGGCACTGTCTGAGCCAATCACAGCCCTGTCAGCCCCTCTGGCCTGGACATCAAGGACGAGGATGGTCTCCACAGCTGTCTCCCTGTCTCCACCTTTGCCCTGCCATAGGCCATCCTCCGCCATTCCTCCAACAGCGTGTTCCTTCCTCGGGCCTCTCTTGGTCCCTGATCTCAACACCCAGGTCCCTGCAGCAGAGCAGCGATGGGAGGTGGGGTGTGTGAGGAGACTCTGCCCTGAGTTCCACTTTGCCACGTGGAAGAGGTGATCATGGGGTGGTGGTCAGCATCCCCCCAGCCATGTGGAGGAGAGGGACATCACCCCCAAAAGGGAGTGTAACTGTGAGGTCAATGGAGAGGACCGGGAACCAGCCATAAATTAAGCCAATTTCATCCCAAACTTTGGTGTAACATGAACCAACAATTAACCTCTTTGCTTATTTGAATTGAGCTTCTCTTATTTGCAACTGATAAAAGCCTAACAAATGTAACAGCTGAGGCTTGTATTCCTCTCTTTGAAGGGCCAGTTGTGGCTTGTTGGATGCAATCAGCCCGAGTGAGGATGGAGAAAGAGACAATCCCCTATTTTGCCCTGCCCTCACTTCTCCAGCAAACTCAGGAGGGGCCATGGTAAGTCCTATTAAAACAAAATGACACAAAGAGTCTAAAAAGATATGCACACAGAGGAATTTTAAAAGAGCAGGATGGAAATATCAACCAGTATGAGACGGTAAAATTTAAGGAAAAGGATTAAATTGGTTAAAGACGATCATTTTATATTTGACAAAGGATTCAGAATCAGGTTTTAACCAACATTTATTGAGTGCCACTCTATACCTGGCACTGTGCTTGGTGTTTACATATGTTATTTGATCGCAAAGACATAACAGTACTGTCCTTATATGCATCAAGTTACACAGTAGGGAATATGTAAAGCAAGGATTATAAAAATATATTGACAAACAATTGCACTCACAGATTTTCACGTAAGCTTACTGGGTTTTGACAAACAGGGTAGGCCAAAATTAAAAAACACAGGAATCTGAGCAACATAATTGACATGAGTGAGATGATTAATGGACATGTAGAGTTTTGAATTCTACAGACAGAAAATACATATTCATCTCAAATGTCTATGAAACAAGTGCAAACACAGGACATGTTCTAGTCCACAATAAAAGCTTTTAAAAAGGTTTTGGAAGCAGATATATTATAGGCCACATTCTCTGTTCACAGTGCAGTAAAGAAAAGAAAACTTTTTAAATAAACCGGATCGCTGAGTTTCCAAGCACTCTTTAGAAACAGTACAATATAGTATTTGGACAACAACATAAACAAGAACATGAACTATCAAACGTAAAGATGTGCACAAGGCTATAGCCAGAAGTACATTTATCTATTAACTATACTGTTATTGCAAATAATTTTGTAGAAAAGAGAATATAAATCGATTAAGTACTCAACTTAAAAATTGAGACAAGTAAGAAATAACTAAAAAATAACCAGTCTACACTAAAGGAAAACAGATTACAAACTAGAGAAATAATGGACGTAAATTAATCTGAATGCTGGCTCTTCAGAAAAATAATAATAAAATAGATAAACATTTGACAAATCTAATAATGGGTAAACCACAAACAAAAGTCGAAAGGAACGATAGGACAAAATAAAGAGGATATTTTGTTTAATTATAAAATAGTATGCATAATTAAGCTAATAATCTGAAAAGATCAATAAAAAGAATATTCTAGAGGATAAAAGAACACTATAAATCATCAAAATTAATGAAATGAAAAATATTAATAAGCTGATAACATGGAAAGAAACTGAGAAAGCCATGCAAGAATTAGCTGAAACTTCCCCTCCATATAGGACCTGATTACTGGTAAATTCTTTCAAAATGTCAAGGAGTTGATGCTTCTCAAGCTAGAGAATCTATTCAAAAGCATAGAAAAGGATAAAAGTTACTCAAGTCCTTCTAAGATGCGAGCTTAGCCATGATACCAAAACTTGACAAAGATAGCACCAATCTTGCATATGAAAATAGAGGCGAGAATCCTACACAAAATATCAAGAAACAGAATTCAGTATCTGAAAGGACTGGTGCACGACAATCCTAAGAATGCAAAGATGACTTGAAATGAAGAATCTACCAGATTTCATCCATCCTAAATTGCACGTTTTTTTCTCCTTCTCTGAAGGCAGGTCAGGATGCATCTTATAGTTGGTAACATCTTACAATTAAGTAGCGTCTTTTACTTTCTCAGTGGTATATAAAATAATAGGTGTTTTCCAATCGATGGTGTCTTAAGTTCCATGAAATATGGTAATACAAAACCTCACGCCAAAGGTTAAATACAAAATAAAAATCATCTTGATGGATGTTTTAAAGGGCATTTGATAATATCCAATACCCATTCCTGAATTTTAACCAGGACACTTCCCCAACATGACACTGGGCATCTATTTTGACACAATAGCCACCATTATAGTTAAATGTGAAACATCATAGGCATTCCCGTTAAAACCAGGAACAAAAAAAGGACACATACAACCAAGACGATGGTCGTTTGCTGTGGAGCTTTTGGCCACTCCACAAAGCCCTGAAATAGAAAAAAGAAGAAAAAGTGTAAATACGGGGAAGGGAGGGGCCGCCATTGTTACCTGCAGGAAAATGATCCGGATTATAGGACCGGGAATGAAACAGCACTTCAACTGAAAAGCTATTTGAATTAAAAACTACAATGAAGTGACCAGATATAATATGAAGTCAGAAATAGACCTATGACCTAGAAGAGGAAATATCAGAACAATGGTAGATGTGATTTCAAAATGATATATAGTCTTCCAGTTTTAAATACCACATATCCTCCGATGACTCTCGTGTGTGTGTGTGTGTGTGTGTGTGTGTGTATTTCTTGACCCAACCCCTCTCCTGAATTCTTGAATTGTAAATTTCACTATCTGCTTGCTGTCTCCACTTGGATAGCTGCTGGGCATCTTAAACTTTACGTGCCTGGAATCTCCCACCCAAAAAAAGCTCCTCGTTCAGTTTCCCCATGTCTCTCCCCAGGCCCTTCCAGGCCTCCAGCTGTGGCTCCTTGACTCCTCTCTCTCAACACCCGTATCAGCAAATGCTTTGTATCTTCAAAATACATCCAGCAGCTGAGCCTTTCCAGCCTCTCCACTATCACCACCCTGGTCAAAGCCACCACCATCCTTATTTCTCATCTCAATGCTACTGCCACCCCCAGCTTCCTCTCCGTGGGTCAGCCATGGTGTTCCTTCCAAAGGCTGAGCTCGCTCTGCCCCAGCCACTCTCACCTCCAAGCCTTTGCATTACGGATTCCTCTGCCTGCCTGGAACGCCTTTCCCCCCAGATATCCTCAAGGCTTTGTCCATCATATCTTCCCTCTCTCAGTTTAAACATCAGTTCCTTAGAAAACCCTTCACACACTACTCTATTTAGAACAGCACACCCCGACACCTTCCCCCAGAAGACCCCAGCACTACCCCTGGCCCTTACTCAACTTTTGTTTTCTCCTGGCCCGAGGAGGGCAAAGACTTTGGTTTGCTCATGGCTGTATCCCCGTGCCTGACACAGAGTATAAGCTTGTAAATATTTGTCGAATGAATGAATAGAAAGCCATACCATGATGAAGGGTGGGAAGACAAACTTTTAACAGTGGCAATTCTCCAAATTAACATTGAGTTTAGTGCAATTGCTATTAAAACATCGTGGAGATTTTGGGAATGGACATGACATAATGAGTTATCTGGAAAACTAGGCAGTGGTGAACCTAAAAAAAATCCTGTAAAAGAAGAGAAATGGAGGGACACATACTACAAGATGCTGGAGCATATTACAAATCATGGATGGAATTCACGTCTCCAGTCTTTGGAAAAGAACCAATTCCTCCCTCTAGCCTGCTCTCCGCTGTGGATGCCATCTCATTTCAAACCTCCCTTTCACGTCCTGGAGGGAAGAACCCACATCAGCAGCTCCCAAGCCTGGCAGAGCATCCAAAACCTCTGGAGGGTTTTTCAAGTATCTTGGGCTCCACTCTTGGAGTCTCTGATTCGGTGGCTCTCGGGTAGGACCAGAGAATGTGGGTTTCTATGAAGTTCCTCATAATCCATGCTACAGAAAATTAGGCCAACTGGACAAATATTCATTCTCCTGTGGCGACAGCAACAATGACAACCTAACAGTTCACCAGCTGAGGACATGGGTGAAGAACCATACTATAGAATATTCAGCGGCTGTAAAAAGTAAATTTAAAAAAGAATGAAAGTGATCAACATATATCCATATGGAAAGCTATCCAGAATATATTGGTGAAAACACCAAATGGCAGAATAATAATTTTGCTATATTCTCCTTTGGGGGGCAGGTTAGGAAATACACGTAGTTTGCCGTAGGATTCTATTTAGGTGAAGTTCAACAACAGGCAAAACTAATCTCTGTGAGCAGAAATTAGAATGCAGTTGTCTCCAGGGCAGGGGAGGGAGAGAGACTGGAAAGAAAGATGAGGGAATTGTCGAGGCTGACAGCAGCGCTCAGCAGCTTGATCAGGGTGTTGGTTACACGGGCACGTATGTGTGTCAACACTCACTGACCTGTGCAGTTTATTGGAAATGCCTATGCCTCAATTTTAAAAAGCAGAGTATAAAGTTAAGGAAACGTCATAAGTACAGGTCATCTGAAACCCCCAAATTTTACACACACAGCACTCCGCATGTCAGAGACCCGTCAGTCCCTCACTTGGTTCTCCTCTGTGTCTCCCCCGGCTGCTGTGGCTATTGGCTGCCAGCTCCATGGTCTGTGCTTATGTCTGTGGTGGCCCCCTTCTTCTAAGAAATGCCTTTTGCTAACGGGAGCCCCCTCCTTGGAGAATTTCCTAGGCTGTAACACTCACATCCACAACCAGCGGTGTGGCGTAAAAGGCCTCCCCATTGGCTCAGAGGAGGACTGCGGTGCTAGTCACACTCCAGAGCTTATGTGGGATCAGGCTGAGGCGGGACTGCAGTTAAACCCATATATTTGCCTCACTCCTTCTCCCCTTTCCAGCCTCCCTCACCCCCGACAGGTTCACCCGAGAGCACACTCCCTCAATAAATGCCTTGCACAAAAATCCCAGCTCGGTCTCAGCTTCTAGGAAAAATACGCCTGAAGAATATAGGGCAGCTTTAGAAAACATTCTGTAGAAGTATAACATGCAAAGGGCAAATTGCACACATCCTAAGTGTACAGCTTGATGAACCTTCAGAGAGGGAATGCCCCATGTAACCAACACCCAGAACAAGAAGCAGCTCGTGACTAGCACCCCAAGATCCCCCCTCTCATGTTCCCTCCCTCCCTCCCTCATCTAAGCCACCGCAAAGGTCGTGCCTATCTCGATTTTAATGCTGTAGACACTTCTGCCTGTACAGCAGCTTTTACCAGGGTCATTTCTGGGTGTTGGTATTTCTTTTTTATCTCATACACTTAAACAAGGTTTACATTTGTGACACATGCTGGTATCTTATGGGATGAGAGTGATGGGACTATTTCCTGCTCCCTGATTTCCTGTGGGGCCACAGAGGGGGAACTTCTGCCCTCTTGAGAATGTCAGAAAAGTAACTCCACTCATTCACTCACTCCTCCTGGTGAGAGGTGGAGGGACTCCGCTGACTAGCGGGATGGGGAGAGGCCCTCATCCCTCACCCTCAGTCCTCTCTTGGGATATCTTAGTGGTTAAGAGACATACTGGATTCAGATCCCAGCTCTACCACGCACAAGCTGAGTGACCTAGGGAAAGTTACTTTACCTCTCCGTGCCTTAGTTTCCCCATTTGTAAAATGGGATCAGGACAGATCCTACCTCAAGAACTGTTAAGAGAATCAAATAAATTGAGGTAGCCACGTGGTGAGGGCTGTGGGGCCTGGCGATTATTATTATGAAAGGTCTCTGGTCCCGGATGGCCTGATGTGCTTTCTTTTTTGGAAGGGGGCCACCTGCAGAAAGGAGGAGGCTCTGGCCATGCAGAAAGCTCAGCTGGGTCAGCATCTGACCATGAGGGGCGCCCTCGCCCCACCCAAGTGTGTCTTCCGTCAATGGTGGTTGAATGAGCCGGGATGGGCTGAATGAGTGAATGAATGAATGATGTCACAGAGGCCTCTAGGCACCTCCCCCTGCTCGAGTTTCCTTATCTAAAAGGGAGGGAGACCATGCTAATAACCTCACAGGGCTCATGAGCTAATAATGAGAGTTAGTGACTGTCGGTTAATAAAGGAGTCAATAATGAGAAGACCTTAGAATTGCGTCAGGCTCCTAACACGCACGAGGTGAGTGGAGGCTCTCATCTGCATCATTCTCACCCATTTTTTTCCTAACTGGAGTTTCCTGATCGGCTCCTACACCTTCCCTTTCCCTCCGCCTCATCCAACCCCTTTCTTTCCACATGGGCTACGGTTTCTGTAGATCCTCAGATCCCTTCAATGGCCTCCACCGCCTACGAGACACACCCAACCTCCATGACATGAATTCGGCAGCCAGAGGGGTCCTGTTGAAATGTAAGTTGAAATACATCACTCCCCTGTCCAGAGCGCTCCTACAGCTCCCACCCTACTCAGAGTAAAAGCCAAATTTCTACCATGGTAGACAAGACCCTACGTCGTACTCTATCGTCACCTCCATGACGTCGTCTCCAACTTCTCTCTCCCCCTCTTCTCCAGCCACACTAACCCCCCTTCTTTCCTCACATGTGCCAGCCACACTCCTGCCTCGGGGCGTTTGCACCTGCTTTGCCCCTCTGCCCAGAACCTCCTCCCTCTAGATGTCTGCCAGTCTCACTCCTCCACCTCCTTCACATCTTTACTCCAATATCTTCCTTTCAGAGGGACTCCCCTGACAGTCTTCTTAAAATAGTAACACCCACCCTACTCTGTACTCCTGAAACCCCTTCCTCCTCTGTTTTTCTCCATGGCACTTATTCCCATCCAGTGTAATTTATAGTTTAGCTACTTATTTTGCTTATTTCAGTCAACATCAGTGACAGTAAGCCAAGTGAAGGAAGGCACCATTTCTACCCCATTCACTATTTACCCTCAGTGCCTTGAACACTGCCTGGTATGGAGTGGGGCTCAAAAAATGGTTGTGGAATGAATGAATGATCTCCTCCCAGCCAGATTTTCACCCACATCTCCCACTGCCCTCCCCTTAACTCCAACGTTCCTGCAAATGTGCCTTGCTATGTCATGTTTCCATGCCTTTGTACATGCTGTTCCTTTCACTTGACAGGCAGAAAATATGATGTTTCCTCTCCTGCTCTGTTTGGGGAATTTTTGCTCATCCCTAAAATCCCAAGTCTGTTGTCTCCTTCTCTCTGGAACAGTCTAGAAGAAGCCTCTTGGCCCACAGAGTTAACTTCTTCCCCTTTGAGCCATCCCACAGCCATGAGCACTCATTTCTGCACTGTCATGGTTTGCCTCCCTTCCCCCACTGAGTGAATAAACATCTTTTCTGGCTTAAACCAACTTGAGTTGTATTTCTGACATATGATCCTCCTGTGCTGCTGAGAGCAGTTATGTGATTTTTCTGATACATAGATAAATTTATAAATAAAAGAACCACTGTTGTTATTTCACATATTGATGCCTTCTACCCTCAAGAGAAAACAGTAGGTCTCTAAATGCAAGGAATGTGCTTGATAATTCTGTTTGGTTTTACTCATAGTATTTGGATTAAAACCTAGTAGGTAGTTAGTGAATGGATGGATATATGGATGGATGATGGTTAAGTGGATGGACTAGTGGTGCATTGATGGATGGATCAATAAATGGGCTGGCAGATGGGTTGATGGGGGGTTGGATAGAGGTGGATGAAGGGATGAGTAGGCATACAGGTGCGTGAATAGCAGCCAAATCTTTACTATGGCCAATAGGGAGTAAATGGATGGATGGGAGGGTGGATAGATGAGTGGATAGACGGATGGGTGAGTGGGTGGGCTGAATGGATGAACTGATTGCATATGAATGCATGAGTGGATGAATACGCATATAGATAACTGAATAAATGGATGGATAGGATGGGTATATGGATGATTATGCAAATGAAAGTTTAGGTAGATGAATGAGCAGACAGATGAATGAATGGTTGGTGGATGTTTGAGGAGTAGAAGGATGGATGAGTGGATGGAGGGGTGAGTGGATAAATGGGAGGGTGAGTGGACGGGAGGGCCAATGGGTAGATGGATAAGTGGGTAGACAGATGAAGTGCATGGATGGATGGATGGATGGAGGTGTGGATGGAATGGGTATGTGGATGAGTAGGCAAATGAAAGTTGGGTGGATGAATGAGTGGACATATGAATGAATGATTAATTTATGATAAATTAAGAGTTTGAGGGTATATGTGGATGGAGTTACATACACCACATGGAGACCCTTCATTCTGTGTCTGACTAAATACGAATAGGTCCTATTTCCCATGGGAGATCCTTTGGGGCTCACAAACCTGAACAGAATTTTGTGGGACAGGAAAATCCCATGCTGAGGAAGGGAATGTGACAACCCACTGAGATCTGCAGGGCAGAGCATTTGCAAAAGAGGAAAGAACCCCCAACTTACCTGGGAGCCCTCTGACTCATCGTCTTCCTCCAAGGAGCTCCACTCCTGGGGACGCCCAGTCTCTTGAGAAGACAGGTCTGGGTGGGGGCGTGGAGGAGAAAGGAGCCATGAGTGAGTGACCAGGCCAGCTGGGGCGGACTCTGCTTGCTCTTCCCACCTGGCATCCTATCCCTTTTCTGCTATATCCTATCACACACACACACACATTCTAGCCTATGTGGTTCACGGGGGTGGAAAGAATACGAGATCTGAATTCTGATCCCGTTTCTATCACTGAGTACCAGGAAGACTTCAAGTGGGTCACCTGATGTGCCCCACCACCTGAGCCTCTGTTCCTTCCACTGTCAAATGGGTAAAATAGTTCCTCCTCTGTAGGCTTCCAGCAAAAACTAAGTGAGGGAGCAAAAGAAAAAACCACAGAATTAAACCGGGAAGATGGAGGGCTGATGGAGACTTCCTCAGCTTCAGCCACCGGTGGAGAAATCTCCCCACATTCAAACTTCGGCATCCTTCTCACTCCTAAACCCAGTAGAACTGGGAGGTCAGGCCAAAGATCAGCATTTCCCACCCTTCCTGCACCCAGGCCCTGCTAGGAGCCCCCAAACCTCCTCCTCACAGCCAGAGCTGGCATCCAGATTACCCATGCCTCTGCTCCAGACCTGCTTATCTCCTGTGGAAGAAAGAAGGACCCCGACCTTGTAGAAGGTCCAGCCCCCACTACTGTCTTTCAGGTGTCCACACATCAGCAAATGGCACCACCCTTTGTCCAGCTGTTTGTGTCAAAACACCAGGAGTCATCCTTGACGTCTATCTTGTCCTCCCCTCCCCCACATCCATCAGCAAGAACTCTGATTCTCCCTAGCGAATGTGTCCTGAATCTCTCCTCTTATCTTGTGTCCACCACTACCACACCCAGCTGGGTCATCTCTCTCCTAGACAGTTGCAGGAGTCTCCTAACTGGGCTCCCAGCTTCCACCCTTGACCTCCTAACCCTGCAATTCATTCTCACTGCAGCTGGACTCAGTGGTTCCCAACCTCGGTGCTAGTAACATTTGGGGCTGCGTAATTCCTTGTGGTGGGGGTCTGTCCTGTGTATTGTAGGATGTCTAGCAGCATTGCTGGCCTCTACCCACTAGATGGCAGGAGCATCTTCCTGGATATGACAACTTCAACTGTCTCCAGGCTTGGCCAAAAATCCCCAGGAGAGGAGCAGGGAGGGGAGGTGTAACATTGCCCCCAGTTGAGAACCACTCATTTAGAAGGATCTTTTTGAAATACAAATGAGATCTGTCTTTCTCCTCTTCAAAACCTTCCTAATATTCAAGTACCATACAAACTCCTAACCGCGGTCTGCAAGATGCCCTATCACTGGCCCCGGCTGATGTCTACCTTTTTTCCCTGTCCTCTCTGGCTCCATTCGCCACTCTCTCCTCGATCACAGCAAGCTTGCCGCCACTGCGGGGTCATTGAATGTGTAGCTCTGGCTACATGATGCTGTCCCCAGCTCTTGGAACAAGTCACACACTCTCCTGCTTCTCTCACCTTCCCTGACCACACTTAAGTCACTCTGCATTCATCCTCCTGTTTTACTGTCTTCATAGCTCTCATCGGACATACGTTTCTTTTCATTTCTCAACTTGTTAATTGCCTGTTTTCTCCACTAAACTCTGAGCTCCACTAGGGCCATCTTGTTCACTGTTAGATCCCTGGCCCTCGGCACATAGTAGGTGCTTGTGGTAGCTTTTTGCCCCAAATGGCCTCCAACTTGTTCATCACTCCCTATGTCCACACCCTTGGGCAACCCCCTCCCTCACTCAGTCTCAGCTTGACCATGTGGCTTACTTTGACCAATGGCCCTGAGCATTTGGGTTGCCAGTAGAGGCTAACAAAGTGATTTGGGACTTTCTCTCTCTTGCTGCTTGTAAGAACTCTGCAACCTCCCCCTGTGAGAATAAGCCTGGGCTAGCTTGCTGGGGACCCCTGGCCTGTCATCAGCACCATCAAGCCAGCCAGCAGCCGACACCAGCCAGACATGCAAGTAAGGTCATCTTAGACCAACCAGCTGCCCTGCTGGCTCACTGTGGCTGCAATGTGGCTCATATGAGCAAACGCAGGCAAATGCGGCAGGAGAATTGTCCCCTGAGGCCACGTCACATTGCTGACCTGTAGAATCATGAGTGGAGAAGTGACTGTTGCTTTAAGCCACTAAGTTTTGGGGTGACTTGTTGCACAGCAAAAGCTGACTGACACAGGGCTCCATACATATTTGTTGAATGAATGAGTGAAGGAAGGAATGTTGTATCTTTCCCTAGGCTCTGACACGACCTTCTCCCCCACCTCCCATGGGACCCCTGCCCCCCTCACCTTTCTCGTCAGTGTCACAGCTGGAGGCCCCAACCTCCACGGCCACCCAGTCTTTGGTGATGGAGGCGCGCTTCTCCCAGGCCCTGTTCTCCCGAGGCAGCAGCGTCTTGGTCCTCTCGGGCTCCAGCAGCCCCCGCAGTTGCTCAGGCCTGAGATTCTGCATCTCCCCAGGAGGTGGAACTTCCAAGGCAGACGTCTTCTTCTCCACCCGTTCCAGGGTCCTGCCGGCTTCCCCGGAAAACAGGAGTCAGAACCTGAGGACTGACAGGCATTTAGTCACTCAACAAATATTTACAGAGTGCCAGCTGTGTGCCGGACATGATTTCTAGGTGCCAGAGATACAGCAGTGATCAAAACAAAGCTCCCTGGGGGCCGGCCCCGCGGCTGAGTGGTTAAGTTCACACGCTCCACTTTGGTGGCCCAGGGTTTTGTGGGTTCAGATCCTGGGCGCAGACATGGCATCGCTCATCAAGCCATGGTGAGGTGGCATCCCACGTAGCACAACCAGAGGCACTCACAACTATAGTATACAACTATGTACTGGGGGGGTTTAGGGAGAAGAAGAAGAAGAAGAAAAAAAAAAAAGATTGGCAACAGATGTTAGCTCAGGAACAATCTTGAAAAAAAGAAGCTCCCTACCCTGATGGGGGCTTACATTCTAGTGGGAGGAGAGGGACAGATAGCCTGTCAAATAGTGACAAGTGCTCTAAGACAAGTGGAACAAGAATAAGGAGTTTCAAGATGAGGGCCAGAGGGTAGTGTGCACTCACACACACTCGTTCCAAGCCATGAAGGATATAATCAGAAGTTTTTAGGAAGAGAGAGGACCCCAAGAATCCCTCTGGCTGCAACGTGACCCTAGTGTTCCCACCAGCCCCCTGCAGCGCCGACTTTCTTCTGTTGTCATAAAAAAAAAAAAAAGAAAGAAAGAAAAAGAAGCAGAATTTGCCAGGTAGGGGTTAAAAAATCTAATTTAAATATTCTTTAATATTCTCATTCTATATCTTGTCAACCTGAAATTCAGGAGATTGTTTGCAAGAAGCTATCTGAACTAAAATGACCTAGGATTATGTAACCCTTTACCTTGAGACTCAAAAGCTAGCTTTATGTTCTTGTTCTAGGATATAGTATGTGTTACCAACCTTGCATGATATAACCCACTGACTGCCCTTGTGAACAGTGATTTATTTTAAGGAGTAAATTCTCTTGATGTGAAAGAAAAAGCTTTGTAAGGGTTTTCTTCTTTGCTTAGGTTTATACAAATAGAAATTGTTATATCAGATTTTAAAACCACTGGGCAGATACTCTGGATTCAAAAAGAAGTTAACTCAACAATCAGATGCACATGGGACCATGTTTGGAGTCAGATTCAAAGACAGCTGCTGTGAAAAAAATTTTTTAAGACACTCAAGGAAATTTGATTCTGGTCTGGGTATTCAATGATATCAAGGTATTTTAATCGATTTTGTTGAGTATGGAAATGGCCTTATAGGTAGATACAAAAATGTCCATCTTATTTTTTTAGAGATCTTTTTGTAGTATGTAGGGGTAAATTGACGTGATGCCCAAAATTTTCTTTAAAATACTTCTGCAATGAGATAAAAAGAAATAGACAGGGCCGGCCCAGTGGCATAGTGGTTAAGTTCACACACTCTGCTTCAGCAGCCTGGGGTTCGTGGGTTCGGGTCCCGGGTGTGGACCTATACACCGCTCATCAAATCATGCTATGGAGTCATCCTACATATAAAGTAGAGGAAGATTGGCACAGATGTTTGCTCAGGGCCAATCTTCCTCACCAAAAAAAAAAAAAAAAAAGAAAAGAAAGAAAAAAAGAAAAGAAGTAGACAAAAGGAGGTCAGAGCAAACAAGCAGATGATGATTGCTGAGCCTGGGGAGTAGAAAGATGCTGGCACATTGGTGTTATCTTTGTACCTGTGAGTATATATAAAACTTTTTCATAGTAGAAATTAACATATATGTTATGGGTATGCAGAATATGTTATTTTCTTCTACATTGCCAATCATCATGTAGGTCTTCCTTATGGGGGGAGGGTGTCACAGGCCCCGAAACTCAAATTTAAACTCATTTCCCCACATACCTCTGCTTATTCCCCTCCATCCCCAGCATGCCCTGCCTACTGGGTCCCTCGCTCTTGACCAGGGCTCCACTATCTTCCCGCCAATCTCTACAGGGATCATCGTCGACCTGCCCCCTCCTCACGCGCACACCCAATCAATCACTAAGTTCACCTGCTCTTGCCTCAGAAAATGCTGCCCCTGCTCTGCTTCTCGTCTGCTCCCCTATGGTCCACTCTACCCCTGACCCCACCACTCCTGTCCCCTAATCTCACTCCCCAGTCCACCCCACCAGCTTCCTCCTCAAGACCTGCCCTGGTCAAGATGCTTTCAATGCTTCCATATGGGAAGACCTCCAGGTTCCCAACTGCCACAGTCTGGGACAATGCAGGGGGTGGTTTTGGACACACCCAGGACTAGACAACACTGAATCCCAGGGAGAGACGGTTTCCTCCTCTTCAGCACCCTTTGGAGCCTTTGGATCACCTCAAGGAGAAAGTCTCAGTATGGCGCTAATACACCTTTAAGATCTCTCCCTGTCTCTCCCTCTCTCTCTGTCTCTTCCTGCTCAGGCAGGCAAAGTATCCAGCCAGGGTGTAAGGATATTGTTTTACTTTGCCTGTGTTTATTTTCATGGTTACCCTCAATAACTGTAAAAAGAACAAAACAAAAGTAAAAAGTGATACCTGGCTTATCATTTATAACAAAGCTTCCCTTTGAAATTAATTGAGAGAGATTTTTAAAGTGAGCTGACTCACGTGCTGGGGGGAGTGTATATTGGCTCAACCACTTTGAAAACTATTTGGCAACATCTACGAGAGTGGAACACATACGTGCCCTTGAACCCAGCAATCGCACCCTGGACGCTCACCCAAGAGAAATGAAAAGCTATATCCACACAAACGCTTGTACCTGGATGTTGCTCTCAGCTGTATCTGTAATGCAAAGCTGTTCATATTCATAGTCAAAGCTACTCGTATTCATAACAAAAATGTGAGCAACCCAGGGGCTGGCCCCATGGCCGAGTGGTTAAGTTCGCGCGCTCCGATGCAGGCGGCCCAGTGTTTCGTTGGTTCGAATCCTGGGCGCGGACATGGCACTGCTCATCAAGCCACGCTGAGGCGGCGTCCCACATGCCACAACTAGAAGGACCCACAACAAAGAATATACAACTATCTACCAGGGGGCTTTGGGGAGAAAAAAGAAAAAAATAAAATCTTTAAAAAAAAAAAAATGTGAGCAACCCAGATGCCTATCAACAAGAGAATAGAAAAGTAAACTGCAGTTTACTCATATAATGGAGTAATATGTGGCAAACAAAGGAACAAACAAACGGAACAACATGCAACAACACAGACGAATCTGAAAACATATACATTAGACTGAATTAAAAAGCCAGACACAAAGGAGAAAATATAGAGGATTTCATTGATTTTTTTTAAAAAAAAAGCCTGGCACAGGTAAAAGGAATCTATACTGATAGAGGTCAGAATGGGCTGCGGCCCTGGGAGGGGGCACAGGGAGCTTTCTTGGGGGTGCTGGAGATTTCTCTATCTGGATCTGAATGGGGACCCCATGGGTGAGGACATTAGTGCAAATTCACTGAGCTCTGCCTTCATTTAACTGGACACCATGCACATCACTTCATGTATTTTAGACCTCACTAGAAAAGAAAACTAAAAATACAAACTGTTTCAATTTCATGTAACTGTATTTGTGGTTTGTTGCACAAGTCAGTTTCAACATATATGTACATAAATGTTTGCTTTGGGAATTGCACATTGCATATATTTTTAAAGAAGATTTAGATTTTTTATTTTCCAAATATTAAAATGTTCAGGGATGAAAATCATATAGAAATGTCATTGGAAATCAAAATCTTCTAAAATATAAGAACATTTCTAAGCTGACTTTTAAATGTGCATCTTTTCCTAAAAGCAATTCTCTCTCTGAAATAGCTGACTGCATAGTGGTAAATAGATTCTACACTGAGGGCTGAGCAGCCCCAGGACATTTGCAAGTTTCTATTCTCTGACTGCTTTGCAGGCTTATTGGCTGGGACTAGGATCCATGTTGTCGGTATTTTGTTGCACTGTTTGAACCCAGTTCTGCAGGGCCGTCAGCACCATTGTGAGGTCTTTTATGTCTGACTTTTATGTCCTGACTTAAAAGAGCTCTTCAGGTATGTATTAGTTTCCTATTGTTGTAGCAACAAGTTACCACAACTTTGGTGGCTTAAGATAATGCCAATTTATTACCCTACAGTTCTGTGGGTCAGAAGTCTGAAATGGGTCTCACTGGAATAAAACAAAGGTGTCCGCATGGCTGGGTTCCTTCTGGAGGCCAAAGGGAGGACCCATTTCCCTGCCTTTTCCAGCTTCTTGAGGGACATGCATCCCTTGGCTCGTGGCCCCTTCCTCCATCTTTAAAGCCAGCAACGGTCACTTGAGCCTTTCTCACACTGCATCCCTCCACATCTGACCCTCCTGACTCCCCCTTCCTCTTATAAGGACCCTTGTGATTACACTGTCCCTCCCCACCGATAATCCAGAATCATCTCCTCGTCTCACATCAGCTGATTAGCAACCTTAATCTCATTTGCAACCCTAATCCCCGCTCGCCATGTCCCCACTGTATTCACAGGTGCTGGGGATGAGGACGTGCATCTTCAGGGAACCGTCATTCTTCCCACCACAGGTATAAAATGAAATTGCTAGAGGACAAAAAGAGGGAGGTGATTTAAAGGAAAAAGCGTAGGTCAGTGCTAGTGAGGGTGGCTAGAATGAGGGAACAGTCACGAATGAGGAGAAAGAATAACGGGTGTTGATAAGATGCTAACTGCTGCCAGCATGGGGAGTGGTTAAGAGCCTGGCAGGAACTTCCGCTCTCCCACGCATTAGCTGTGTGACCTGGGCAGGTCGCTTTCACCTCTCCGAGCTTCAGTTTGCTCATCTGTAAAGTGGGGTGGTGATAATAACAGGCAGCTGCCTCACAGAGTCATTGTGAGCTCTCTGCTGAGACAGCAGGGGGTTTCATACACAGGAAGTCCCTGATGAATGAGGAGCAAAAAGGTTTCTCCTCTTCCTCGCATGCCCTTGCTCTTCTGTGTTGGCTTCTGGAAATCCTGCTTCAAGGCTGAGCTGAGACATCACCTCCTGCGTGACGCTGTGAGTATTTGCCACCCATGAGTGTTTGAATGGAAACAACTTTTTTGAACTGTTTCTGAGCCAGAACTTTGTGCCAGATCTGTGCTAAGTACCGGGGATTCGAAGACGAATCCGACACCCTCAGCAGCTCCCTTTCTCCTGGAGGAGGAAGATAAGTGAGCAGAGAGGAAGCAGCAGACAGAAACACTAGCAGTAAGGGTCTCAACTCAAATGCCTCCAGGTGTTCAGCAGATCATACAGATAAGATAGGATAAAAAGATAAATCAAGAGCCTCCCCCCCCAATCTGGCATTTACTTTCACTCTTCTGAAAGTGAAAATGAAGCATGGTCTAGAGAAATTCTTCTCTATTGTAAGGAAAACGTAAATGCAACTGAGGCATGGTATGGGGAGAGGCAATAGGGAGTAGTGGGGATTGTGGCAAAGGAGAGATTTGGTGCCTTGTCTGAAGAAGCTGCCCCATTCGGCCAAGCCAATGTTTGTCGCGCAAAAACGTGGGCCCAGTGTCTCCCAACTTCCAATTTCTCAAGAGAACACTGGAAACCTGTACTTTTAGATGACATCTTCTGCATTTTAAAATGCCAACAATTATTTCAAATGTTTAAAAGGAAGACACTATGCGAGCCACATAGCACAGGTCATGGGGCTGGTTACACCCTGGGGCTGCCAGTTTTAAATCTCAGTGTGGGTTGGGGAGTGTGTAAGGAGTGAGGAGAGGACGCTGTGAGCATATACAACAGTTTCCAAGAAAAAAAAATATTGGCCTTGATGAGAAGGTAGTGAGAGAGAACTAGGAGGGGTTCTGTTTGTTTATTGTTTTATTTTTAATATAAGACATAAATAATCATGTGTTTAGGCTGAGGGGAAAGAAGACAAAGGAGGAGGAGAAATTGCAGGCTGGAGGGGTAACAGTTGGAGAGCCATGGGGTCCAGGTCAGAAGAGGCTGGATCCCCGTGGATGGAGGAGGAGAGAGGACAGGGTGTGACAGGGACGTGTGTGTGAGGGAATTCACACCTCACAGCTTTGGCGTTCTGCGTGAAACAGCAAACAGGTCACCCGCTGAGAAAAAAAAAGGACGGAGACACAGTAACAACAACGACCACACAACAATAACAGCAAAGCAACACGGGCAGCCACTGTTTCCAGGAGCTCCCGGTATGTCGGGTACTGCGAGCACTCCGCGCCCGTTTTCTAGTCTAATCCTCTTCCCGGTTCTCCGCGGCAGATACTGAGTCCATTTTACAGACAGAGAAGGCCCTTGATCAAAGCCACGCAGCTCGTCGGAGCTGGGCGGGGATGCTAAAAACCTCACTTCAGCGCCTGCGCTCCTGGCCATTGCAGGGTGGCACACACGTGCCCAAACAGACACACAGGGCACACATGAGCAGGTGTACGCACGGGCAGGCACAAAGACGCAGCGTGCTAAACACACGGGGAGGGCGAACACAGACACCGAGACCCCCGCAAGGCCAGAGCGCGCGCGGATCCACCAGGGCGCGCAGACACACGGGTGGACGCTCCATGCAGGGTCGTTCTCCGCTCCAAGCGCGGAGGCCGAAATTCAAGCGCAATCCACGGGCGGGTAGACAGACCGCGCTGGACGGAGAAACAGCCCCAACCCAGACCCAACCCAGCCCTCTCCCACCCGATGGGCTTGGAGAACCCCTCCCCAGACCCGCATCCCTAGAGCGCCTCTGCTCCCTCACCCCATGCACACTCACACTCACACACATTCACACTCACGCGCGCGTCCCCGATCACCACCCGCGCCCCCAGTCCCTTTTCCCCGACCCCTCCCGCCAGCGGAGGTCTCTCGAAGGACTCACCCTCCCCAACCAGACCCTGTCCTGGCACTGCAGAGTTGGTGCCGCAGCAACCGCGACTGCGCAGACGCGGAGGCTGCGGGTGAGAGGTGGGGGGCGTAGGGGAAAGTGAGAGACCTTTTTCCGTCCTCCTTGCCCCAGGGAGCCTGTGCCTGCAGGGGAGGGCGAAGGGGAGCGGAGGGGCGACAGTGACACTTGCCCGCATTGCGGTTGCGGGGGTGTGGTGCTGTGTCCGCCTGATGTTGGTCAAAGTGGGATGGGCGGTCCATCCCCCGCTGATGGGCACGTAGGTTATGTCCATGTCCCCAGTTGCAGACGCCTGCCTTTTAAGGCCAACAACTTTCACATGCCCCAGGTGGTTCTCCAGTCTATAACCGTGATGGAGAGTCGGGGTGGAAGGGAGAGGGAAGGAGCTGGGGCAGGAGTGTGGCAGCCCAGGGACCCTGAGGCCAGACCTCCTGGGGTCAGAGTCTGGCTTTGCCATTTGCCACTCATGTGTCCTTGGGTGTGTCACTTATCACCCCCGTGTCTCAGTTTCCCATTCTAAGAGGGAATAATTATGCTTACACCTGCTGGGATTGCTGTGAAGGTAAGAAATTAACACATGTACGGTGCTTAGAATAGCGCCTAATGGTGGCTACTGTTATTACGATTGTCGTTCAGGTTTTACAACGAAATGACTACCTGGCAAATCGCTCTCGTGGAAGCTACATCAAATTTTTAGATTTTTGATAAAGCTATAGGTGGAAAGAAAATGGTCTCTTTTTGTAATCTTCTTTTCTTTTCATTTCATTACGTGTTTGCTGACCCGGTTTGTTTCTTCTTTGTGAACTGCCCATTTATACTCTCTCTATATTTTATTGGTTTGGATGGCTTTTACTTACTGATTTACAGGCATTCTTTACATGTTCCGGATGTTGATCCTTTGCCTGTTATCTCCTGGTCTGTCACTCACTTATCTTTTCCCTTTGCTCACACGGTGCCTGAAGTGATGGATTTTGATAAAATCCAAGATACTATTATTTTATGGTCTTCTTCATCCTATTCTCATAGACACACTTTCCTCTATGATCTCATAATTTACAGTCTTGATTCATGTGTTTAGTTGTTTGAACCTTCCAGAATTATTTTTTGAATGGTGTGAGGTAGGGATTTAAATTTCTTTTCCAAATGGATAGACAATTGAACAATCTTGGTTACTCAGAAAAACAGTCAAAACAACTGTCATTTATCCAACAAATATGACGAGCAAAGGCATCACATGTACATTGTCTCATTTGATTCCAACAGATCCAAGTGGTAGGTATTCTTATCCCCATTTTACACAGAAGGGAACTAAGACATAAAAGAGTTAAATGATTTGTCCAGAGGACACACAGCAAGAATATTGAAGGATTGAGGTTGGTTTTCTTAGGTGTTTCCATATATGTCACATAATTGACTGGGGAAACTTCCTTTGTTTAGATGTGTACAAGATGAGTTTCCAGCCATTCCAAGGATAGTTCAGGGTGAAGAGGGGAGAGATGGATTTTAGAGTAAGACTCCTCATTCAACCCTTGCCACTTCCTCTGATAACAAGACATTTAGTGCAGGAGACGAGGAGAGATGCCCCAGATCATGGAGGCTTGGTTGGGGGGAGGTTGAGAGTTTGACCTCTAGACCCAGATCCACTATGCACCAGCTGTGCAACTTTGGGAAGTGAATTAACTGGGTCTCAGTTTCCTAATCTGTAAAATGGGAACAATAATATTTCCTTCCTCATAGGATTATTGTGAACACCAGGTGAGTTAATACACACACCTCATTCAGATTGAGTACTCAAGAAGTGTCATAGTGTTACCCTTATCATTATCAAACACCAGGTCCTCAACATGGGGGAAAATTCCAGGTGTGATCCTGATAGCTCAGATAATTAAGGGTTGTTCTCAAAATAAACTCAAGTTTGAGGGGTTTCCACAGGGTCCTGGTGGGAAGGAAGGGTACTGAATGACTTCTTAGGAGATAATTTCTTACTGAAAGAGAAGAAAGCAGCAAGGAGAAAGTGTCTGGAATCCCAATGCCTTACTCTCATCTTTCTCAAACTTCAGTCTCTTGCATATCCCATTGTCAACTTTTGCCATGCGTCTGCATCAATGGATACCACCTGATGTTTTCTTCCATTTCCACATAACATCTGTATATAAGCAAAGAGCAATTTATCTCATGTTTTCATTTTAAAGATTTTTTTTCATTTTTCTCCCCAAAGCACCCCAATACATAGTTGTGTATATTTTTTTTTAGTTGTGGGTCCTTCTAGTTGTGGCATGTGGGATGCTGCCTCAGCATGGCCTGATGACCGGTGCCATGTCTGCGCCCAGGATCCGAACCTGCAAAACCCTGGGCCACTGAAGCGGAGCTCATGAACTTAAGCACTCGGCCATGAGGCCGGCCCCTCATGTTTTCATTTTAAATGAATTCATTTTCTAAACCTTTTTGAAAGTACCTTTGGAAATGGAACTTTTGAAGACTCATAAATGGAAAGCCAGGTTCATGTGCCATAACAAAAAAATGGAAATAAAATCAAGATTAATAAATCCAGAGCTAGATGCTGCTGCTTGATGAGGTCAGTTGAATTATTGGCCACAATTCGTCCTCCCCCCACTGTAGCACATCTTCACTCATGCCATAGCCTCAGGGCAAGTCACGGGGCAGAGAAGTAACCTCTCGTTACCGTATGACCACAGCAAAGGTGAAGACTGTTATGCCCACAGGACTTTTCCCTTTGCTGATGGTGCTTCATATCCTTTCACTGTAATCAATCATAGCCATGAGTGTGCCTGTGTGATGAGTCCTGTGAATTCTCCTAGAGAATCATCAAGCCTGAGGGTGGTTTTGAGAACTTGCAATGCAGCCCTCAGACTCTGGACCAGCACTTATGACCACTGCTGTACAAGGAATTGAGTGCTGTTGACATGTCTTTGGAATCCATGACTAGCTGAGAATTCATACACACATTCGCTCATTCAACAAATACTTATTAAACACTTGCTATGTGGCAGATGCTGTTCTGGGTGACCAACACAATCAAAGTATATGGCTTAATGAAGTTTAAAGTCTAGTGATGGAAACAGGAAACAAACAAGTAAACTAATAAATGTAAAGTAAAATATAGTTTTTGCTAAATTCTATGAAGTACATGAAACAGATCAATGTTCTAGTAACTGTGAGACCATTTTATATGGGTGTGGTCAGGGGAGGTCTTTTGGAAGAGGTGGCATTTTTAGCTAAGACCTGGAAAGTGGAAAGGAGCCAGTTATGCAAGAATCCGTGCCAGAGAAGAGCAGGTGCAAAGACCCTGAGAAACAACAAGGAGACAATGTGGCCAGAGTAGTCAGGCAAGAAGGGGAGTGATGGGAGACAAGATCAGAGAGGCGTTCAGGGTTTTGAAAGCCACAGTAATATCTTTTAATGTTATTGTAGGTGTGTTGGGAAGCCATGGAAGGGTTTTGAGGAAGGGTGTGATATAATCTGACATACATTTTCAAGGCATCACTGAAACTGCCGTGTGGGGAACGCTCTAGAGAGGGCAATAGGTACAATGGGAAGACTAGTTTGTTGCAATAAGCCAAGTGTGAAATGTTGGTGGCCTGAAGTTAGATGGTGGCAATGAGGGTAGACAGCAGTGGACAGATTCAGGATATACTCTTGGAGATGGAGCTGAGAGAACTCACTGATGGATGGGATGTGAGGAGTGAGAGGAAGGAAGGAATCAAGGAAGACTTTTGAGCTTTGAGCCTGAGCAGCTGAGTGCGCTCAGCTTGAGTAGGATCAAGTATTTTTGTGCATGGAGAAAATCCAGAATTCTCCTTGGGGCATGTTAAGTATTTGGTGCCTGAATTTCTGAGGTTAACTCTAGGAGAGCCTGTATTACTCAGATATCAGCACTCAGAGATTCTGGGGTAAGGTGGGAGAGTGGGCTCAGGAATCGGCTCAGAAGAGCACACCCACCTAGAGAGGCAGCAGTAAAAGTAGGCTCCTAGTACTGTCCGCGGTGCTGAACCTTTCAGCCAGACCTGTCCGCGGTGCTGAACCGTTCCAGTCTGTGCTGTCCGTGGTGCTGAATCTCTGGTCTGACTAACTGAGAGCTTTCGCTCGCTCCTCTTTTTTTCAAAAAACAAAAAACAAAAAACAAAAAACCTATCCGCCTGGGAAAAGCCTTGATGTTGCCTGGAAACAAAGCTCTCTGGGCTGTGGCGAGCGTGGGATGAAAGCAGATGAGGGCAAAAACTGCAGGGTCATTTTTAAGAGGCAGCTTTGGCTCTTAAGACAGCAGGACCTGGCTACAACCTGACTTGAATTATTAACAGGGAGTTTCCAAAACATCTCTGAGGAAAATAACACACAAAAAGGAAAACAAGCTATAGACGTGCCCAGGATTCAAGCTGTTGGTCATCTTGGGTTGAAGGAAACAGGGAGGAGCTACATAGGTATATGCGAGTTATTGGTAAGGCCCTAGTTTTTATGTTGCAAGGTGGGGTCACAAGAAGGTTATTAATGTAGATTTATATAAATACAGCATGGCTATATTTTATGATAACTTGAATTATAAACATGTGAAATTGTGAGCTTTGGGTGGCAGTTTTTGAAATGACAAGATGCCTTGCGATTTAAAAATCCCTCAAAACTTCATACTTTCGAATGTGATCACTCGTGTAAATTGTAAAGTGTATTTGTTATTTCAGTATCACTTCAGCTGATGAAGAGACATGCCAACCATCTTTTGTTAGGATTATTCTTGAATTACGTGGGGTTTGAATTGTGCAAGGTTTTCAAGAATTGAGTTCCTAGCATAAAATCCAACCACTCTGGGATTGTTGACTGAAGGAATGAATTAACATGTTTGTTCTTCCCAAAGATCTGGTCGCCAGGGAAGCCACAGCTGCTCCTATCACTCAAGAGACAGACATTCATAAAGCACTCATTATGTGCTGGACATTGTAGGGGAGACCCAGGATGCCTGAAGCATATCCCCTTCCCCTAAGAGGATGATTTCCACACCTCTTCAAATGGCAGGAGACTTTGAGGCTCTGACATGACCTCTTTGATCAGCTAGAGTCACTATAATCCGGCTCTTACCTACTTTCTCTCTTTTCATAGAGTTGTTAGCCCACAGGGGATTTTTTGTTTTTGCTGAGGAAGATTTGCCTTGAGCTAACAACTGTTGCCAATCTTCCTCTTT